TCAAGGTTTCTCTCTTTTTAGGATGGATAGAGACAACAAATTTTCGTACTTACTACCAAAAAACATATATTCACATTAGTTAAATTGTATATACCTTCTAATACACGCAGTAGAATGAAAAAGTGATTTTCTCATGAGAACCGACCATAATACCGTGTTATGAAAGAAATAACAAATTAGTCACGGTCTTCCACTAATTAACATGTCTAAGTCTTCCTCTAATAATTTACAAGTAATGTCAAGGTTTGCTTCTTTATTGGGACATAGAGACAATGAATCTTCGTACTTCTTTGGGGGTGGGCGGAGGAGGACTTTCTCTTGTAGACTTGTAGTGCGGAGACGCCATATATGGTGAAACTCCTTAGGCCATCATTACAATGAAATTTTGGAAGATGAGTATGGAGTATTATTTTTTTTTTTCATTTTTTATTAACATTAGGATTAGTGCTTTATATTGTAAGGGATTTAATTTTTTTTTTTTTTAATGTTATAAGAGATCAAACCTTTAACCATTTTGAATTCAGGTTTTTAAATTAAATTAATGAGTATTAACTATCTAAATTCTTTATTGGCTAAATTTGAAACATGACCAATTGCACAACAATTAATTATAAATTAAGATTTACTTACACTCAATTTTTATATATTATATTTATATAAAATTTTGATTATTTATCTTTCTACTTTCAACAAATGAGATTATTAAACTTTTATTATATTTCTCAAAAATTATCTTTCTTTTTTTTTTTATCTAAAAAGCAATAATAAATTTCAATTATTGAAAGTGAAAAGATGAATTATTAAAATTTGGTATATATGTAATATATAAAACTTATGTATAAATAAATTCCTACTTATTAATTTTTGTTCATGATATTAGGACACTTGGGTTGCATGTCCCCTTAGCTTTAAATTATATGCATCTCAATGCAAGAAAAATATAATTTTAAATTAATAAATTAAATTAAAATTCATTTACACAACTCTTTTACATATTATTTCTATAAAAATTTGACCATTCATCTATTCACAATAAAAAGTTGAGATTTTTTTAGTGATAATTGTCTTTTTCATAAAAAAAATCATAATAAATCTAAATCATTTATAATTAAAAGATAAATAATTAAAATTTTGTATAAATAATATATATAAAAATTATATATAAGTGAGTTTTAACTCAAATATATTACATAGATCAAGATAAAAAGAAAAGTAACGATCAAAATAATTTAATAGTTATTTGCTCAAAGTGGTCTCGTAAAATAAAACACTTCAAACTTAAAAAATAAAGATAACTAACTGTTAAAACGAAATTTGTGTGGCTCCGATAATTTATTGCGTGGCTTTAACCTCTTCCGGAGATATGATGCAAGCTTAAACGTTGACATCAAGTCAACAAGTCTAATTCAAAAAACTAATTGTGAGGTACTAATTACACTAAGATGTTTAGGTATGAAATGACGCTGAGATGAAATTAAGGTCTCGTCCCATAAAAGTAATTTTAAAAGGAAATTTCTTTAGAATGACTGTGTTCCTTAATCTTAATCATGAAGATTTGACTCAAGTCAACACATTTCAACTTTTATTTTTTTATGGGGAAAAAGTAGAGATAATATTTGTTTTTAACCTTAAAGTAGAGATATTATTAATAATAAAAAGAGTGACCCCCTTTTAAGTCTTTGTTTTTTAGTTTACAAATTGTATTGGTTCATTTAATTAATTAACATAGTAACTACCACGCGTTTGCAGCCTCGAGAGGACTGAAATGTGCACCCAAAACCTTGACCCATTATTAAGTCTGAGAACTTTTTCTAAATTTGCGCTTAAGCTCCTGAATTGATTTTAAAGCAGGGTAAGCCCCTCTTCAGTGAATTGATGCAGATTAGCACTCACGTTAACCGCAAACTGCACCTGCTATCATGCGACACAAACGTCCGTTTTCCCCTGTGCTTTCATGGCACTCGCTTTCCACGTGATTGATGATGTGGTTTTGTAATTCAATTTGGTACAAGCTATAGGAGCATGGAACTTCTGCTTGTTTTCATCTCAAGTTACACAATTTAATTATCTCCCCTGGAGTTGAATTCTGACTTACTTAATTGATTGTTAGGGGTCCATTCCCTTAAACTAGTGAGAGACATGTGAAGATATGTTGACATGGTGGTTGTATTAGTGGATGGAAAACAGGAAAAGTGTTTGTTTAATTATAATGGGAGCGATTGTTAGATTCCCCTGAATTTTTGTGGAGTCTATGTTTATTAATTTATGAGAAAAGAGAAAATTAGAATACCCTGACATAAGAATGTTAGGAGCAAAGATGGAGCCAGGAAATTTAGTTAGGGGGTGAAATTTATTGTTGAAGATTTGACTTGAAGAGTATTTTTTATGATACTAAATTACTTTCTTAAATCTTCTCCCTTATAAAAAGATTTATTTGTGTTTTTTTATTGATATTTTCTTAGTAAAAATTAAAAATAAATGTATTTTTTCAATTATAATAAAAATTGAAATATCATAATAATAAATTATGTAATGATCAATTGAAGAGTGAATAAAAAAAGAGAAATGTGTTTATTAACTCAATCTTTAACAAATTATGAAGAAAAATATCCCAAAATTAAATTGTTTTAATAAACTTACATTAAAAAAAGAAGAAGACAAAAACAACATATTTTTAAAGTAGGAATGAGAGTTTTTTTATTTTACTGAAACAATGTAGTTTTTGAGTGTTTGCCTCTTAGTTTTTTTTTTTGGATCATATTGATAAATACTAATATTATAAAAAATACTAAATATTTCTTTTAGCAAATAAAACTCTAACTTAGATTGATTTAAAAAAAATTATAAATTCAATCATAAAAGTTAAAAATGTACCTTGATGCTAGAAGGAAAAAACTTTAAATTATTACATAAAATATTAAGAAAGAAAATAAATTAATACTAAAGAAAACTGTAAATTTAAAGTTATTTAAATAGATAATGAAAGTTTTTTGGGCTTAAT